GGTGAGTGCTGCTTCTGCATGTGGCAATGAGTGTTATAGGCGATGTAGTGTACTTCGTTATGGCAATAGTACTGTTCATGTCTATAGGCGACGATCACCACTTCCCATCAAGTGGGCCGTCAAGTTATTAGCCATTCTAAGAAGTATAAAAAAGTATGAAGAACGGAGAAAAAATATATAAAAATAATAATAGTATACTTAGTAGTGGTAGTTTTTTTCTTTTTTTTTTTTGTGATCAATGCCTCATCAAAATATTATTATCGTGGAACTATACAAAAATTTACCGTAAAAACAATATAACACGACAACGAGTACAACTAGAAGTTAGGTATATAAATTTTGATAGTTTTGTAGAAGTATTCTCTCTTTAAATACCTATTTTTTTTAGCATTCACATTGTTCTTTTTTGAGAAATATATACGCCGACGATTATTGCTCGTCTGTACAAAGCTGAATAAGTAAGTAAATAATAGGTTATTCAGTTACATAAAAAGTTCATATAGAGTAAAATAACATGGTATATGAGGTAAACGTGTTACGCAATGTTTGCCGAAATGGTTCCCGCTCAGCATTATACTGCAGCCGAGGGCTGATGTTCAGCGGGAGCCTTTCGGGAGTCTTAATGATTTTCTTTGTATTTTAACTACACAAATGTACATGAACTGTAGAAATTGCCAATTTCTCACACTGCATATACACAGACAGCGCCCTTTCCGAACTAACGTCTACCTATTATTAACCACACGTACAACGTAGGTAGGTAGGGGCAATCAATCTGAACATCTCATTACCGGGCCGGTTATTTTTCACCGGGGCCTCATTGCCGGTCGCTCGGTTCATTTGTCAAGAGTTAACTAGTATTATCTGGGAGCGTTCGGAGCTTTTCAAGTGTAAAAGTTTCTCAACTACAATTTTAAAAAGGAATAAATGTTACGTTGTTTGTATGCCATGCCAAGCCCCAACTTCGTCTGCGTGACTGTAATATGGGGGGTAAAGAGGTTTTTTCAGGGTCGGCAACGCGCGCTTAATACCTCTGGTATTTCAGGCGTTCATAGGCTATGGTAACCGCTTACCATTAGGTGGCTCGTTTGCTACCTCAGTGGTATAAAAAAAAAGATATGTTTACTGACCGGGATAAAAAATAGCCTATATCTTTTTCCATCATATATAGTACGTGTACACCAAATATAATAGTGCTTGGTTACACCGTTAAAGTGCTATATTCTACGATAAGCCGGTTAAGCGCTAGTCGGATATGCGCAACGAGAGTTCCGTACAAAATCATCAAGTTTATTTGTGAAATAATTACAAATTTACTGTTTTCGGATATTTTCCTTTGCTTGTACTACATGACATTTCTAGTTATCAAAAGAGGTTGCCCATGCACATAAAGTTGCAGTTTTTTATTAAAAATGTTGATTTCTCACACTAGATAAGTATTACAAAATACTATATTAACTAAAAGACCAAAAAAATACAATATAATTACCAGAATAAAATGAAATATTGGAATTCTATATGATGAGTAATCTACCTTGCGAAATCGATTACTTTTCAATCAGTACATTTAAATGATACATTTAACTGATACATTTAATATATAAACATCATATCAATACATTGTAATTAGATTCTCCACACTTTCAGTAAATGAAGGAAATTATATTATTAAGGCATATTAGTATACATAAATAGAAAATATTAGCATCAAATCTATATTCACTCAATTGAAATATTTATAATGCAAGTATATGCATCGAATCTTTGAAAAGGTAATTTGTAATTACAAATAATTTCGTATTAGATTAAATCTAATTTTATCAATTATTTTTTATTTAATTAGATTATCGTTTCTCAACTGAGGGGTCGCGTTTGTTATTAAAAGGGGTCCCAATCTGTTGAAAAATAATAAGACCTCGAAAGATTCGTTTAACATAGCGATGCTCAACTAATAATAGTAATAATTCGACTACTAATTATTCAACTTAGTATTTGTAATGAATAAATTTAAGCGATTTTGAAAACATTTTACCTACAGGATGTGTCAACAACATTTATGTGACTAAATTCTAAAGTGTTGAATTTACCTTAAAAGAGTCCACATAAAAAGTGATACAGTGATACTAATAATAATATGTACACTGCTATATTCATGGTTTATCAGCAAATGGCATGTGCTGTATTTTACTAAATAAATATGATACATCTGTCTATTTACCCGTATAGAACCAGTTCGAGTCGCCAGTGTCTCTAGTAGTCGTAAGCATAAATGGACAAGTACAATTATTGATTGTTAATAATTTGCCAATGTTTTCTTTTTTTTTCTTTTTAATTGTATTATCATAAGACGGAGTGTAAATTTTTCATTTTTGTTATATAAAAGTATATTACGACATATTAAAAAATAACAAAATAAAAGTATTATTATCATTTTAATTAAAGCTATCTATATATTTTTTATAGATATAATGTTCTAAAAAAATTACAATAAACTTAACGATTTTAATATTAAAGAATTTTTTTTTAATGTTGTTCATTTTATTTTTAGTAAAAGAAAGTATAAAATTAGTAATGACGGAACATTTTACAATCCTTAAAACTTATTCAATATAAGCATTAAAAATAATAATAATTAGGTAGAACAAAACTAGAATACATTTGTATAAATATTTATTTAAAAAAAAATTTTTGTTTCAATACTATTTCACTCGTTCATATCTGCTATATGTTGAGTCATATTAAATTTTACGTTGAAACCGATTATTTTTTAATCATATAATGTTGTATAATAATTCGCAACGGATCAGTTTTATAAAAGTTACAACCAGAATAAAGTGTAAAAGGAAATTTATTTTTAATTATTTAGATCAAGATAACTTCCAATTTCAACTCAATACTTTGACTTTAAAAGTTGGAGATGTTATGAAGGAAGAGTTTGCTTATTATGTACTGCTCAGTGAGTTTAGATATTTTAATCACTGTACAGAGTATATATCTGGTACCAATTATTATACGGTGACTAATATTTTCTATGTATGCTACGAATAAACCCAACAGAAGACAACTACAATTTCCTTAAAGATCAGGTACAGACATATAGATACAACGAACCTTTTTTTTTTTTTTTACGTGGGGAAATCCTCATGGAGACCCACACACCCCGGGGGAGGCATATGGAGACTGCCAGACTCTTACCGACTAAAACCACCACGTGTTCCTCGGCTTACCAAATTAACGGCAGCGTTGCTGCGGTTCCTATTTATTACTACTTGCAGCAACAACGCCAACGTCGTTTCTTAACCCCATTCCAAGAAGGGGGAGCCCGCCTCTAGGAGCCTAACTTCCAGTCCATCTCTGAAGAAGACGTGCCGAAACAAGAGCACGTTTCCCGACTCAGAGGCCTTTTTATTATAGTGCATCGGACACCCCCGTGTTCAGCGATAAACTGTGCTCCTCTTTGAGAGGACTGACTGCGATTTCGCTGTCGGCCCCGTTTTCTTCGGATGGATTTGAAGTTGGATCCGATTCCGGTCCCGTTCCTCAACATTCTTTTTGTTGCATAATCTGCTCGGAAAAGGATACCATCGCCTCCCAAGATTGTTCATCATTTACCATCCTTCTGACGACGGATGGTAGCGTGAGGTTGCACCGATAACTGCCGTAGAACAAAACAAAGCTTGACGCGCAATTGTCCATTTTGGAAAAAAGTGTGTGTTGCGCGGTGTCTTCCTCCGCGCCACATTGATGGCAAAAATTGTAGGTTCCCTCGAGATACCTTCCACAGATAGTTGCCAAAGCACCCATGCCCCGTCAGGATCTGTGTTAGGCGGAACGACAGAACTCCATGTTTTCGCTCTACCCATTCCCTAAGAAGGGGGTGGAGTGCTTGTAGGGTCCGGTCTCGAGACCCTCCATTACCTGTTATTATTGAGAGCCGTCTCTGCCAGGTTTCTAAAGCCGTATCTTGAGCTGATTTGCGCCAACGATATTCTTCAGGGGCGGCGGAGTATATATGCCGTACCAATTATTCTCGGGCTTGCACTTTTTGCCAATAAATCGAGGACAAAGTCTCGGCCTCTAGATCCCATGGGATTGTGCCTGCGAGAGTGCATGCTGCTTCACGGGAGATGGTGCGATATCCACGGTATATCCTAATGGCTAGGGTTCGCTGAACTCTGAGTATCAGATACAACGAACCTAGACCAACCTATCAGATTGTTCAGGCACCTTTGTGGGTTTGTATATATGTATATATATATATATATATATATATATATATATATATATATATATATATATATATATATATATATATATATATATGCTTCATACTATCCTATATTTCCAAATGAAATCATAGATTTGTTTTCACATTTAATGGATACGAAAACACTAAATCAATTTAAACTACTTAAATTTCCACATTCCAATTATGTGTCATGTCTTTGTTAATATTTCAGCTGTTAACTGTCCACTGCTAAATATAAACCTTCCCTATAGGGGGAGTTTTGCCAGTAGTTGCCACGCTTGGCAACTGTTTACATAATTCAACATCAACAAACAGTCAACATCACAATATTATAATATTAGTCATAACATTACAATCATCAACATTACAATCGTTCACATTTATAATTAAAATTCATTCCAAGTTACTAGTTGATAATGTAGCTTACTTTAGGCGAGAGAATTTTTAAAATTGGCTAAGTATTTTTTTAAGTTTATCTACTATAAACAAGATATTTTTCGTTTGTTAATATTAATTTATATGTGCGTGACGTGGCGACGTGCGATTTATACATATTTTTATTTTATTTTTGTATAAATAAATATATTTTATTTTATTGCAATTGAAGCTATTTGCACGAGAAATCTATACTATGTTATGTAATTATTAAATAATGTTTATCGTGAAATTAATTTTCCATCAAATTAACTTGTAAACTTTAAACGGTTGTCGCTATAATACATTTACTTGAAGCGTAAAATTGTAGCTAGCATAAAAGAGTAAGAAATAACAAATAAATCACATTGATCACGAAGTTGTCGTGAAAAGTTGCAGAAAACCGAACAGATGGCGTTGTATTTGCTTCTGTGTGCATTAGCAGTTAGTCATACTACCGCATATGTGCCTTGGAATAATGGCAATTTTCATTTAGACGGTAAGAACTTAATTATATTTAATTAATTTTAAACTAATAATTATTCTTAATAAAATCCAAAGGGAGTAGTAAAATATGGATAGAAAGAAGGTAAATAAATTGGTATTCACTTATCATTATTCTATCTTAAACGAAGTTAAAATTTTTTGTGTTTTATCTTGTTACGTCATATAGAGGTGGTTTATTTCATTGATTTTTCCCTTCCAAAATCCACGTATACGATGGAGCAGGTAAAAGCTAGTAATAATGTATAAATGATATGAAAAATAATATTTTACATTTCTTTGATTACAATTAATGGATATTTTATCTCAAATATGTAGGTAGATGTACATCTATACATACGAGTATATCGTGCTAGATACGAGTGTAAATATAGATCGAGCAACTGTTATAAATGTTACATCCATTGTTCAAAGTTACAAATAGTGTTGATAACTATTATATCCGGCTCGAAGGATCAATTGTGAAATATGTTCATAAAGTTGTATTTAAATGAAGGAAATTAATTACATGGATAATGTAGGTGGAGTTGTGAAATATATATTTAATTGGAATGGATTATAATTGTGTTGTTATTATTAAAGATTATTCAAATCACGAAATGGAGTCTATACCATCACTGCCATTGTCACACCCTGGAGAAGAAAAAGGTAATTATGGTTATTTATTAATCCATTATCTTTTTTTATGGATTATAAATAAATTAGTTCTGTAAAAATAAAAAAGTGACTTAAAAAGTAAATACACCAATGCACAACAAAATGTTACATAGACATTTTTTAAGTAATTAAATTTAACAGGCAGGTAAAAAAATGTAACTTCAATTTATTGTAATCGCGTAATATTGCGTAAACTATAAGAGTAACAAAGATCTAAACATAGCATATATATTTACAAATCTTTAAAATATCTACTAGTCCTAAACCTATGCGACTTTTCTTGCGTATATCATTATTTATAATATAAATGTTTAAGTTAGTATCATACTCCTTAACATCTTAATTACGTAGTCACTATGATATTTGGTATGCAAGTACTACATATGATAAAGTAAAATATAGACTACTTTTTATTTGAATCAATGAACATGTCACGTGGACGACGAAGTAGAAGATAAAGCTATTTATCAAATGAAATATGATACTGTCTGTATATTTAATTCAAATCTCTTCCACTGTTTAAGTTTGATTGAGTAATAAATATCCAACTTTAATATTTATAATATTAGCTAATAATTATTATTTGTTACTTTACAGATCTGAAAGCCAATCCTGGTCTCATATACCCAAATGTGAATGTTCGACCACCATCTCAAATATGGCCACATGATTTAGGAAATGTTTACCAAAATGGTAAATATGACCCTATTACTGATAAATTATATAACTATTGTTTTGTAGACTTATTTTTTAAACCTAGAAAGGAATGTTAGCAATTTTATATGAAGTCTAATCTAATCGACCAATAAGCATTTTGTAGAAAATTTACAACAAAAAGGGAATTTAGAACGAAACTTAATGGTAGAGAGATGGGCAGCAGCATCATTCTTAAAACATTATTAAAAGTCTAACTGCGGTTGCCAACATGCCTGCTAACTATGGCAACTAATGGCAAAACTTCCCTTTTGGGGAAGACTTATGTTCAGCAGTGGACAGTTAACGGCTGAAATAATTATAATGATGAAAATATTTATCTCACTGCGACAGAAAAATTACACCTTGCAAAATTATTACAAAGTAGGCGAGGAAAATTTATAACAAATAATTAATAAATAAACATATTATATAATAATTTAATTTACCATCAGTACAGTACAGAATATCAACATGTAGCAAATAATGATTATTAGTATGATGAGGACTTATTCAGTATAGTTATAAAAAAATAATATTGAATAAGTACAACAATTTCAAACGCATTATAAGTTATTTTCGATATTTACCATAGCAAGTGAAATATTATCAGAAATATTATGTTAGATAAGCAAAAAGTTCCGAGTGTTAGAAATACAATCAATATACAAATATTGGAGACGAAATTGCGTATACGTAGAAGCAGTGAGACATGAGTAAAATGTAATTCTGTTCCGCTAAACTGGAACATCTTTTGATAGTTTGTATGTATAAAATGTTGAGTATGTTCTATTGACATAATATTTTGTTTATATTCACGGAAAAAAGTTCCCAAATTTTCCTCCGTCGAAATATTTTGTATACAGTGAAGAGATGAAGACATTTTGGAAATGTTTTGCTAATGAAAGGTAATTAATATTATTTCGACGTCAACGTCTTACTTTTCGAACGAAATGAATTAACTTTGCAAACATTCAAAAATGGAATTCGCTAGTAAAACATACAATGGAATGAGTATTTGTTTTGTGAAAGTCATTGTTTTGCGTTGTGGTTCCTTTTTTAGGAATACATGGCTGCATGTACAGACTACGGGAATTTAATGAACTTGCTATGTTTTCCGATTAATTGTTTGAACTTCATCCTGAAGTCTTTTTTAAGCTGAATAAGGTTCTTACGTCGTAACGTCAGCTATACATTTCAACTTTTTTTTTCAATTACACTATAATTGTTGGTGGAAGATTTTGTTATTTTAATATTATATTAATTCTTATTTATTTTACAAATACAATCTTTCTTACAATAACAGAAAATAAAACAATATTGTTTCAGACTTCCGGGATCCTAGCACAAATTATTTACCACCAAGCGCAATGCCTGTAGTTCCACAATTGCCAGTAGTGCTACGACCTAAAGTGTCACCTATGCCTCAATCTCCCAGAAATATATACGGAAATGGTACTTTTTTTTATCATAAATGAGCTGTTGTCTCACAGATTTGCACGTATAATGTTATGTTTTACGTTTAATTTGAAAATTTTCAAAATTCTTTATTAACGGATTATAAACTTTTTGAATTAATTATATAATAAAATAATATATATATATATATATATAAGTATGTATTCGTATTATTTAATATACCACTATTACTTAAGAGGCTTCTAATAAACTTGGCTTCTTGTCACCGATGTTTCTCGATGAGATACTCTGTGGAAAATAGCTTGCGAGAAATCTAATAACTGCGTACATGTTTATATTAACCTAATTAAACAATATAATTAAAAAAATACATTATTATTATCTTTAATTACGTTAATAAAAACTTGTATTTTCAGATTATTACAACAAGTATCGATCGCTCCCGAAAATCATGCACATTTAAGGTTGTTTTTTCTTTATTTTACTATACCTTATTTATTCCCCTGTGTTTGAATAAACATAACGGACTCTGCCATTTGTTTATATTTCTTTAATTAATTTTCAACTTACCTTGAAAATGAAGAAAATTATCATTTCGGTTGTATTTTGTACATTTGTTACCTTATAACTCCGTCTAAGTTAAGCTAAACTGATTTGGAAAAAAAAAATTTCATACGAAAAGATTTACGTAGAGTTTGGCTCATCGAAATTATATCAAACTCGGTTCAATAGTTTAGTTTTTAAATAAAAATAATTGGTTTTGTTACTATTGCAGTCGGATTCTTCTGAGGAATATTATCTCTAATTATTTATTTATTTATTTTTTATACCACTGAGGTGGCAAATAAGCATACGGCCCACCGGATGGTAAGCGGTTACTGTAGGCTATGAACGCTTGCAATACCAAAGGTATTACGCGCGCGTTGCCGACCGTGAACAAACCTCTTTACCGCCCTTTTGAAGAACCCCATGCTGCAGTCTCTTGGGAAAACCTCTTGATTATCTTGAATTATAACATAAAAGTACTTAACTACAAATTGTAAATTGCGATTTATTGTGCATTGCAGATAGACCTAATTATATTATAGTATTATAAAATACACTTTTCAGTTAATATTGTTTCTATCCAAAATATTTGCATAAATTTACGACTTTGTCCATGTCAATTTAATGTACGTTAATATCATCCAATCGTTAAATAAATAACATCCAAAGATATTAATAAAGTTTACTATTATGATAATAAAAGTAAATACAATCATTAATTATAGCATTTTTTATTTTCACAGATTACATTTTTGATTCACAAAAACGTCATCTTTGGACACAAGTGGCGACTGTTTTCTGCTTTTGATGAAAGTGTTTTGTTATTAAACTAATTTAAGTAAAAATTGATTAAATGAACATTATTGCGCCCATAAGCTAATAAATGTCTATTACTATTCATTAAAAGTCCCAACAAAAACCTTAGACCTACGATGCATTATTGTTTGATTATAAACAAAATCATAAAACTTTTATTAGTGAAATCTAATCTATCCATTTACTCGATTATCATAACATTCACAATAATACATTATTGTTTGATTATAAACAAAATTAATAAATCTTTTATTAAGTGAAATCAAGAAGATCGGCGTTGGTTAAAACACCCCCTAAAAACAATTCGATTATTTCTTAATTAATAGATTATGATGTACCAATTGACCTGCTTAACCTTACCTTTCATCCGTCATTGATGTCTCGACAGCCTATTTCATTTATCATTCATTAAATAAATTAAGGCCGTTAATAAAATCTGGTAATAGTCGTAAACAATAATTTGGAGTTGAAAGTATCCAGTTTTTCACGAAAACAATGAAAACTATTTTGTAAGCTACGGTAACCGCTTACCATCGGGTGGGCTGTATGCTTGTTTTCCACCTCAGTGGTATAAAAAAAATTCTAATCATGGTAGTGCTAACAGTAAATTCACCGTTGTTAATTTTACCTGAGTGTACAAAATGACATGTACATTTAAATGGAGTAAATTAATTTTGTCTCTTAATATCTCTGGGTATTCTCAAAAATAAATTAAAAGTAGTCATGTAGAAAACGTGTACATTATCTGGGACGTTCATATTACATGGACGTTTTCTGCATAACTAGCCTCGCCTCAGTTATGAGAAAAATATAAAAGATTTAACTAAAACTGCAGTTTCGTTATATGAACTACATAAATCATCGTATTAATAATCCATTTACCATAAATACTTTAGTTGAGAAATAAGCTGGTTTTAATTAAGTAACAAACTTAACCTAAGAATCAGATCTAAGGCGTTGTTGAAGTTTTGATGCTTCTGATGTTCTATAAAATTATGTAGAAAATCCAACAGAGCCTTCTTTGTATTCCATAAACTTTACTTCTTATGCTTGTGCCCTTTAAAAGAGCCATTCCTAACATTTCACTTTTATACTTAAGAATAAAGTTTACAAAGTCTTTGAATTAGGAGAATAATATAATGTTTGTAGCTTTTGTGTAAATAAAAAAGTGTATTATAATAAAACTTGGCTGTTTAAAATTAAATAATGTTTCCTACTTAATGGTTTGTATATATTTATCTTTCATTCTTCAATTTATTATAAGGACAACGTAAATAAACCATTGAAATAACTTGATCGGCGAAACAGGTCAGGAATTTATAGTAATATATAAATAAATAAACAACAGTATAAGTGTTTTTGCGATAATATAAATATGATATGATATTATTAAATTTTTTCATATATTTATTTCATATATTATATTGCATAGTTGAAATACATTTGTTTGTGGTTGCTATTATTTTCGTTTAGAAAGTCAACATATTCCTGAAGGAAATTTGTGAAGCAGTATTTCTCGATGTAAGATTCCCAGTTATTTGTATTAAAGTATGTAAATATGATATGAACTTCGTATTTTATTGTATTAGAATTTTTTATTGTGAAACAGAAATGCATTTGTGGCTGGTTAAAGTTAGGTTAAATAAGGAAATTAAAACTAAAAAGAATAAACACAAATAATATAATAATTGTTGTATTGAATTGTGTTGTAAAATCTTTAATATATATACTTTACATTGGATACATTAAAAAGGTTTAATATATAATGGCGGACTTATCCTATAGAGGGATCTGTTATAGTCAACAATTCAGAAACTACAATAAATCTATAGACTATTCGAGGGTAAAAATTGTAACGTATTAATACCTAATTAAAATTAATCATTCTGTTTCTATATTCTAGGTATGGACCTATATTACAATAATAATTGTACACCTACATACATAAATAATAATAATAAACCTACACAGATACATATATACAAATAATACGTAAATATATATATATATATATATATATATATATATTCACAATTGATTCAATGAAACAGGAGTTTCAGTATAAAATTATATGATACCCGCTTTAAAAGATTTTAATGATTGTGTTGTCTTTAAGTTATTAGTTATCAATTTGTCATTATTGTTTTATTCCTTTTCAGTTTGAAGAATAAATGAGTGTATGAAGAAGAACTATATGAAACATTTATAAGCTAAAATACTATGTACTTGTATATCAACATCTACATCTACACTATAATTACTTTAGCTTTATTTTATGTGATATATAAAAGTTAGTAAATTCCTATTTAAGAAAAGAATCCAAGAGTCCTAAAATATCTCTATCTCACAACACTTCCCTGCTTTAAAAGTAATTAATCTTAAACCGGACATTCGCATTTCCACTACAGAACTTGATTCTACTAATTCCGGTTATAACCGTTCACTTAAATATGACCCCTTTTATTATATTAAGAAATCCCTCTGAGAGCTCTTTTGTAATTGGATGCAATATCCTGTGTTCAAGTAAGTGATAAGTCTTTTGGAACATTAAATATGAGTTTTTGATTCTGGAAAAACTTATATCTATGTTATTTGAGATTTAAATTAAGTAAATTTTATTTGTTTATTGCAAAATTCACGTATTTTTTGTTTTCCTACATAAATGAACTACCAACTTTTGCTTTAAATAACACAAAGTTTTTAGATGATTTTATGCTACAGTGACCGTTTACCATCAGATGGGCTGTATGCTTGTATACCACCTTTGTGGTATAAACAATATATAGTGGCGAAATGTAAAAATGAACGTTGTTGGTTACATACTTTGTGGAATACTTTATATAGAATATGTTATACTTTATTACATAATTAGATATATAATTTATTTGCATTACTAACAGCAAACTAACTACAACAGGTATAAATACATAAGCAAAAAAGTAAATAAAAGAATATATATAGGTACTAAAAAAAAGAAAGGAAAATACATAAAAGAAGTAACATAATTTTTCCTTTTATAAGTGTGCCACAGTAACATAAAATGGTCACTCAGTTTAGCTTTGCCTTAAAAAGAGCAAAATACCGATATTCTTTTGTGGCCAAAAGACACTTTATTCATCATACTTGGCATAGTTCCTTTAAAATCTTGGTATTTTTTTTTTTTATTAAATAACAGTGCATAAAATTTATGAATAACAAGAGTAATAAAAATAGACAGTATCCGGATGAAAACATGTCAAATATTATATTGAAATGCGAGTCAGTTAGAATGATTGTTTCCTCAATTAAATTATGAAAAAATTCAACTTAAAATCTTATTCAAAGAAACTTACTTCGTGAAGCGAGTATTTCACCAGCTTAATTTGATAAATAATACATAAAATATATATTTTTGATACACAATAATCGCTCATTATTCTTATGAATATCCCAATTGTACAGTTCATTTTTATAAATAGGCAACCCTAGGCCATAGACTACCTGCAGCATACTTGTAATCGGCGTCTGGTCATGCCCATTTTAATTCATCATCATCACCATATTAGTTATTAATTGTCCACTGCTGAACATTGAACTTCCATATAAAATGGATTTTGCCAGTAGTTGCCACGATTGGCAGGTGGGTTGGTAACCGTAGATAGGCTTTTAATGAAGTTTTAAGCATTGAGTTCCCATTGTCTTCCTCTTACACACATTGGAAAGCAAGGAAGGCCAATCTATCTCGGGACCACACGAAAATTTTATTTATGTAACTAGAAATGACAGAGAACAAAATTCGCCTTTTACGATGTAGTAACTATCGTCTATAGACGAATTTAAACAATAAATATTAATAATCCCTATGCGCCATATTAATAATTACTATTCCAAAATTAATCTCGAATACCAACTAATCCAACAACAGTTTCTGCATCACTTCAATTCATTTCATATAATAATTAACAATGATATTCTCTGGGAAACTTGATATTTAATATCAGCGAGGAGGCACAGTCCGATTGATGTTTTGGCGAGAACAATAAATTGTCTGTCGATGATGAATTAAGAGCAATTAATTATTAATCTTAATTATCTCAGTCCCTTTCTCAGATAGATAATTATACGAATTGTTTGTAATCATTTTAAGAAACGTATCATGTTGCAGTTTAGAAAATATGT